ATGTTACAACAGTATGTTTCAAATGTTTCATCTGTGCCCGACGTATGTTGCATCTAAGTGTTTCATGTTGCAAGTGTTTTAGGGGGCACGGTGAGTGATGGCACACGGCCCAGGCGCCAAGGATGGTGGCGCGGTAGAGCAGGGGACCGGCAGACAAGGGTGAAGCAAGCTAGGGGCTGGCTCCCTGGTCCCTCCCATGCGGAGAGGAGGAGGGGGTCGGGGGAAGGAGCGGGGCGCAGCTAGGGGGGGCAGGGTGTGCCTGCGAGGTGGACTGGGGCGAGTCGCGCGGCCGTCCATCCGGACGCGAGGAGCGGCGAGCGCAGTGTCGAGGGCGGGGTGCACGTGCGAGTCAGAGCGAGGCTGAGGGAGGGAGGCTGCGTGGGCGTCCATACGCGCGTGTCCATCCGGATATCCGGGCGCTAGCCATGCCCTAATTAGGGCTGAAAACGGTCGGAAACGATGGGTAGGAGGCCAAATCACTTTCATTTTCACAATATTTTCTCGAAAATGAAATCGTTACGATATTGGCGGAAACGAATACGGTGTCGATATTCCGATAATTTCGGAAACAAAACTATTTGTTCGAAAGTGCATCGACAACTATCGAAAATCATCATAGCGGTATCTGAAATACGATAAACACATCAATTTACAGCGCATGACAATAGCTATATAGCTTAGCACATAGTTATACTTGATACAAAAGAACCAGAAGATAAGCCCACAACCACAAGTTCTGACGTCCTGGACTTAAGAGTTAGATCTCACGAGCACACAAGCTGACAGCCACATAGACATATTAGCCACTCACAAACTTACGTACCAGTACATCGTAACCGAGCCAAGTTCTTAGTTCGATACTTGGACTTAAAAAAGGACAGAAACGAGAAATAATGCAAGAGACATGATTCTTGCGTGGGGATAAGGGTGGCAAGGGGAGCGCTCAACACTCAGCAGGCTAGGCCTAGTCTATGATTCAGGAAGAGGCAGGGATGGCGCTGTGGGCTTGTGGCCTGCCTGGGATACGGTAATTATCGACGATAGAATACTGGCCAATTACGGTATTTTTCGAAAACGGTCGGAAGTGAGGCAAATCATTTTCGTTTTCATTACTGTATAGTTTTTACCGTTCTCATTTTCGTTTCCTCGGTTATCGTCACCGCTTCCATTTAGGAGCAAAAGTCGGTAATTTTTCAAAAATGATTCCTAGTAAACGGAAATTATCGTTACCGTTTCAGTCCTAGCCCTAATATATTTTTGAACTGAATTAGCTATATTTGCAATAATATGTAGCTTGGAGATATATTTATTTAATAATAAAAATAGAAATTAGGCGAATCTTATCTTACTCTAATCTTACCTCTTATCTATGCTACCTATACTTAATCAAGTAGATCCCTCCGATCCTTCTAATCAAATAGAAAAGAATAAAAGCAGGTTGGAAAAAACATTTTTCTGTTTAATAGATAATATATAAATAATAGATAGATACATATACAGACACAGACATATATATAGATATAAATATTAGATATAGATATAGAAATAGAAAAGGTTGCAAAACAAGATTATTTTTTCGTACTGTTCTGGTAAAGCATGCAAGCGCCAAACGGCCCTAATTTTTTACAAGTTAGCTATTTTTTTTTTGAAGAAAATTTACGTTGGGCCTCCTAGGAGATTTAAACTCATCTTTGGACTCTGGGCGTCGGCGCCAGGACTCATGGCGCTGAGGTAATACGTCTCGGCGCCACAGATCTTGACGCCGAGGTGTCTGGCCGTGCACAATAGAGCATTCAAGGTGGCGTTCACGTGGTCGATAACTCGGCACCTTAACACGTGACGTCGAGCTCGACGCCACATATCTCGACGTGCGGTGCACGCCACATGCGCGCACAGCCTAGGCCAGACGCGTGCGTGTGGCGCACCCCATCAGCTTGAGCCCAGCGCCCGAGCCAACCAGTAGGCTGCAGCGCGGTTCCCCTTACTCCGTTTCCCGCGCCGGTTTTCAAAAACCACCGGCTGCATCCCAGCGTCTTGCGAAACCACCACCACATGGCGAGCATCCAGTGGCCAACCCCCAGGCAGCCACACACATGGACACACGGATCGAGGCCACACCGCCAATCCTACCTGCACACCTAGGACGTCACGTGCCTGCGAACCTGGGCATGGGAGGCCATGCGCCCGCGAAGTCAGGAAGCGGGACCTCTAGATAATTTGCGAAGAATTTGACATATTTAACTAATATTTTTTGATATATGCAATACATTCATAAAAATAATTTATAAAATTTTCTGAAAAAATTAGCATATATTTATCTAAGATCTACGATTATCCTCAAATTATATCACTTCGTTCAACAAATAACACTAAAGAAAATTATTATAAATATAATAATAGAACAATATAAATATATCTATAAGACAAAGTAAGTGCATGGCGTCGAGCATCCATTCAAAGCCCGTGCATGCATTCAAGGCTATGTTTAGTTAGCGAAATTTGAAAATTTGGCTACCGTAGCATTTTCGTTTTTATTTGACAATTAGTGTTCTATCATGGACTAATTAGGCTCAAAACGTTCGTCTCACGATTTCCAACCAAACTGTGCAATTAGTTTTTTTCGTCTACATTTAATGCTCCATGCACATATCGCAAGATTCGATGTGATGACTACTTAGCACTTTTTGACAAACTTTTTTTAAACTAAACAGGCACCAAAATGCCGAGGATGTATTCAAAGCGTGTGCAGTAATACCGTACAGGACAGGCTGCTCTCGTGCGCATAATACCGTACAGTACAGGCTGCTCTCAATCAACAAGCAGCATCCACCAACGCAACAGCGCTCTTGAACACGCGGATCGGCACGTCGTCCATGAAAAACCTGCGGAAAGTGTAGGGTCTGTTTGGTTCTTACGGTCGTTCTAAAATTTTCAGTCTCTTTATGCACGGAGTATTAAATATAGACTAATTATAAAACTAATTGTATAACTTGTGACTAATTTACGAGACGAATCTTTTAAGCCTAATTAAGCTATGATTTGACAACGTAGTGCTACAGTAAACATATGCTAATGATAGGTTAATTAGACTTAAAAAATCATCTCATAAATTAGCCTCTATCTAGATAATTAGTTTAGTAATTAATCTATATTTAATATTTTTTTTAATATCTAAATATTTGATATCACATGAATTTTTATATGATTAGCCAGCGATGAGCCGACAATGCAGATGCACGGGTGTACGAGGAAGGGATTGGCCCCCTGCCGTCGCAGCCGCACAGTGACCTGTTGGTGTGCAGGTTTCAGACAGGCGTGGAGAGTAGGGGCAGGCCGTAGGCCGTGTGTTTGGGTGTGTGCGTCGACACGGCTGCACCTGCACACGGACGCACGCGAATCTAGCTTCGAGATTTAGGCCTGGTTTTAGTTACTAAATATTTTCACTCCAAACTATCACATCGAAAAAAAAAACTAATTACACAGTTTGGTTAGAAATCACGAGACAAATATTTTAAAACTAATTAGGCTATGATTAGTCATAAGTGCTACAGTACTCACATGCGCTAACGATAGATTAATTAGGCTTAATAAATTCGTCTCGCAGTTTTCAAATAAGCTATGTAATTAGTTTTTTTATTAGTACGAAAAACCCCTTCTGATATCAAAACATCTACATCTAAAACTTTTTATTTTATGAACTAAACACAGCCTTTTAAGACTGCGTGAATTCAAAATCGTCTTCGAGATTTACTGTCAGCCTTTAAGAATGCATGTGCGTTGCGGCAGCGATGCAGTGCATGTGCATGCAGCTAGCGGCGCATGCATGGCCGTGGCCCTGCTCTGCCCTCGAGGGCGGTGAGCCTGAGCCGTTCCTGAACATGCTGGCATGCTGGCGTGGGTCGTGTCCGGTGTGTGTGTGGCGCAGCAGTGGATGGACACGCTCTGAGGGCAAGTTTGGTTAGAACGATGGGAACTTGGCTGGTAAAAAGTGAAGTCTAGAAGTTATTTGAAAAGTTAATGGTTTTTATCGAGACAATTATAAAGAAAAGCTATTTGGTTGGAGACATGTGTCTGAGAATATTAATAAGAGGAGATGTTTATAATATCAGTGTGTTAATTGATGTCTGTGATATATAATTAGCATATAGCTTTTGTAGTTTTACTAAAAATATATTTGGATAAATATTTTAATTAGTTAAATAAATATAAAATTATTTATAAATCTAAAAACGTTATTTTAATTAGATTTATTTTAGATTATTAAGCCAATAAAATAGAAATAAATATGTATTCATATTAAATTAATCCATAATGGTACACGTTTGCCTTAATAAAATAGCTAATGTACTTTTGCCTTAATTATAAGTAACTAATGCACGATAGTTAAATAGCTAAAGCAATCAAATCAGTCATTGGAGTACTACTGATCTAGGCAAAGAAGCAGCATGAGCCAGGTGACCGTTTTTCTACGCCTGGAGTCCGGCCGAAGATGCCCGGGGCAGGCAACCCACCAGCTCTGCAACCAAACAAGGTGCAGTCAACTTCGAGGCAAGTTACAGGTGAAGCATTTTTTCTCCAAGGGTTCAATCCATACATGCCCTGAATGCATGGCGCCGAGGTCGGCACCAAGATCGCTCGGCGCCATATGTTCTGGCGCCGAGGTACCAGCCACGTTAACGTCATCCTGGATGCCCTACTGTGCACGACCAAACACCTCGGCGTCAAGATCTATGATGCCGAGACGGGTTACCTCGACATCATGAGTTCTGGCGCCGACCCTCGAATGCAAAGATGAGTTCAAGTCTTAGGGGGGGCAAATGTAAATTTTCTTAAAAAAGAGGCTAAATTATAAAAAATTAGGCCAAACGGCACAGGCGTCGGGCGTGCGTGCATGTCTCTCTCTCTCACACACACGTAGTCACTAGTCAGTCCTCAGCAGACTCACAGAACACACCAGACACCACACCAGCAGGCCATTCACGCTCGGCGTCCAGCACCGCATGTTCCTCACCAACGGCGCCTATGCCTCCGCCGTCATCTTCTCTATATGGCTCCGCCCGCCGTCGTTCCCGCGCTCCGCCGACCCTGACGACGAGCTTGCGCTGGCAGACTTCCCCGACGTGCGTGTCCGGTATGTGGACTTCCTGAACGTGGTCCTCAACGAGGACTACGGCACCGACCGGTCCGACCCCGTGGTGGCGTACCTGTGCCGGATGGTCAGCCTCCACCTCCGACACTCGAGCGGCCTCGTCATCAATACCTCCGAAGAGATCGAGCCGAAAGGTCTTCACCTCATCGTGAAGCTCTCCGGGCTGCCGACTTTCGCTGTCGGTCCCGTCATCGGCGTCGGCGGCCGAACAGCTACAGATGACACCGCGCCGGACCAAGACATGTGCATCAAGTTCTTGGACTCCAAGCCGCAGGCGTCCGTCCTGTACGTGTCGTTCGGGTCGCAGAGCTCGATCCCGGCGTCGCAGATGATGGAGCTGGCGCGGGGGCTGGAGGCCAGCGGGCGTCCGTTCATCTGGGTGGTGCGTCCACCGGTGGAGTCCGACGGGGCCAAGGGGTTCCGCGCTGAGTGGCTCCCCGACGACTTCGAGGAGAGGGTCGCGACCGCGGGGCAGGGCGTGGTGGTGCGCGGGTGGGCGCCGCAGATGCGCATCCTGGCGCACGCGTCCACGGGCGCGTTCCTGAGCCACTGCGGGTGGAACTCGGTGCTGGAGAGCCTGTGGCACGGCGTGCCGGTGGTGGGCTGGCCGCTCATCGGGGACCAGCTGTTCGACTCCCGCGTGCTGGTGGAGCTCGGCGTCGGCGTGGAGGTGGCGTCCGGGAGGTGTTTCGGCGGGCTGGGCAGCAAGGGGTCGGAGCGCGTTAGGGACGTCGTGGAGACGGTGCTCGGGGACGGCGACAAGGCCAAGGACATGCGTCGGAAGGCTGCCGAGATGAAGACGCTGGCGCGCGCGGCTGTCGGAGCCGCAGACGGAGACGGCAAGGGCAAGGGCTCGTCCGTGCTCGCCATGGAGCGCCTCGTCGATAGCGCCTTCGACTGATCATGGCAAATTTGTCGTTTGGGACACAAATAAATTTTGCATGGATGTCATGTTCCAATTTCCAAACAAGGGGCTTAGTTGTCAGTATCTGCAGCTTTACTACAGTACAAACACTGCTATACTATACGATTGCGGTGTTGTACTTTGCACGTGTTCAGTTTCACCCCCAAATCTCAAAAAATGCTACAGTAACTGTCATGTCGAATACTCGTGACCTATACATGGAACATTAAATATAGACGAAAAAAAACTAATTGCACAGTTTGGTGGAAAATTACGAGACGAACGTTTTAAGCCTAATTAGTCCATGTTTAACACTAATTGTCAAATAAAAACGAACATGCTACATTAGCCCTAGATTCCAAATTCCTGAAACTAAACACACGCTTTTTCGTTGTATGAACTCCTAGTATAATAATAACAGTGTGCCTAATTGTCACCGGTTTTCCTTACCAGCATGTCAACAAGCAAGCCGGAAGTCTTGTACCCAGTGCCGTAGTGTGACAGTGCAAGTTTCGGTCCGTGCCATGGCATCGCCACTAACGAAAATATTGCTATGGAAAGATCCATGGCCTTAATTAGATAGCTGTTAGGAATCAGTATTTGGTACTGTAGCACTTTCGTTTGTATTTGATAATTATTGTTCAATCATGATCTAACTAGGCTCAAAAGATTCGTCTCGTAATTTACAATCAAACTGTGTAATTAATTATTTTTTTATCTACATTTAATACTCCATGCATGTGTCAAAGATTTGATGTGATAGAGAAAGTGAAAAACTTAAAATCTAAATAAGGCCCAGTATGTACAAAATTTGTCAGAAAACTATAGTACATCATACATGTGACACACATAAAGGCCCTGCCCCTGCTCGCTGCAATTTTTCAGCTGCGGCTGTAGGCTGTGGCTACAAGAAAAGAGCTAATGTCTACTGTATCTAACATACGATAAATAGCCACAGCCGCAGTAGCAGCCAAATAAGCTGTGACATCAAAACATGGAATCACTTTTCTTTAGAGTTTCTTTGTGCATTATGTATTCCAAACGGGGCTGAAGTTGCGAGGCATACCGCACACACTGCACATTGCTTAGCTGAGTTGATCGACTCACCTAAGTAATGATTAACCCTTGCAACTGTTTCATGGTCTCGGAACAACTAACATGCTTAGTTAGCTAGACCCGGTATATGTCGAGTGCGAGAGGGAACTCACATTTGCGTGTGCAGCTTGGTTCACCGGGTCATAACCAACACTAAAACTTGTTGCTGTTATACTTGCCAAATGGGCTAGGCCCGCTAGGCCAGTGTTGGCATGACATTAAAAGCACGCCCTGAGCACAGCCTGGCCCAAGGCACATCGTGCCCGTGCCTGACACGCCCCCGGTGGTTGCCGTGCCTGGGCCACAAATTTAGGCCGCACGGTTCGTGCCTGTGCCACTACCTTGACACAGCGGCACTATTAGGTATGGCATGTCTAAGCTGTCGTCCCTGGCCGCGCCTTACGGCCCGGATGACCATGTATACTTGTCGTTGATAGGTGCACTTATAGGAGGAAGATGGTGCTGTTGAGTAACAACTGCTACAGAAAACATCTATTCAATTTATTATGACTTGTCAAACGTCGATAGCCTGAGTGCACCTAATCTACTGTTTGGTTTCCAGTTAGGTTTGAGAGAGGAATCGGTGAAGACGTTCTTAGAAGGCGGAAGCAAAATATATAGCAACCACAACATACTGTTTATTTCTCAATTTTTATTTTTTTAGCTTAGATTCAAAAACATCATGTTGTTTCTAAAAAGTCAGATCATGTATATCACAGAATTTTTTTAGGCGCCGTAACATCATGTTGTTTATTTCTTAATTACTATTTTTTATAATGACACCTGTGTAAAGTACCTTCGACGGCAAATTTCGTACATACACATCGAAGCTTCTGCAACATAAGATGGCAAAGGGCAAGCCATGGCCAGCAGTACCTTTGTGCAGAGTTTCTCTGCTTCTCTGTGTTCTTTCAGTTTCAGCTTGCAGGCTGCATTGTTGAACTTGCAATTGATTTTCAGAGGTTAGATTGCTTTTTCTATCCTCACTGAAAGACCTGTCATACTCGATGTACTTTGCAGCCTGATTAAAGGGAAGATGGAGTTAGTAGTGGTCTGTCTGATAAAATTAACAGAGTTTTTGCGTGTAGTGTAGGCTGCCATTGCACCTTCTCGATGAACTCAAGAGTCTCTTCACGGTCGTGCCCTTTTTTCACAAAACACTACCGACTTGCTAGCGTCCGAATGTGGACGTAGAGTTTGGACGCTGCCCGCACACAAAGCGAACGAGCGTCTAGCGCTTCAGGCTTGTGAGAGAGCGCACCGGTTGTGGTCCCATGCCTGCCCGGACGTCGTCCGTACCGCTGGCTGCTTCCCACGTTTATCCCGTGTGTAACACTTGATCTACTTTTGAAACATCCAGATGCAACAGTTGCATCATACAAAAGAAGACAGAAAAAACATTTGAAACAAGCATCTGAAACACTTGCGAAAACGCCTCAAAAACATTTGAAAACCATTGCAAACATATGCAACATCCAGATGAAACATTTGCAAACATACGTATGAAACACATGAAAACACTTAAAACATATGCTTGCAACATGCATGTATGTGCAACATCCAGATCTACTTTTGCAACTTCTAGACAAAACACGTGTAACATTTGTCTGAAACAGATAAAACATTTGGAACATACATTGAAACATACGTGTATAGCCATTACAACATGTGTAATATCCTGATCTACTTTTGCAACATCGTATACAACACTTCAACATAACTCGAAAACATCTAAAACACTTGAAACATACTATTGCAACATATGTTTTCAGCGTAGCATCTGCTTGCTGCTGGAACGAATAGAGGCTCGTCGACACGGAGCTTGACGTCGGCATGGAGCTCGAAGCCGCAGAGTGGCGCGGAGGTCACAGTGTGGAGCTCGTCGGTGGCACGCACCTTAGCAGGGTGGGGATCAAGCGGATGGAGCACGGCCATGACGGGAGGCGTGAGTCCGGGAGCCAGCTAACAAGCGCATAGCGCGTCGGGCACGCCGTGCGTGGTGCGGACTGACAACGCAATCGAGCACAGGGTCCGTCCCACGAGCGGGCATCACGGGCGTGGACGGCATGGACAAGTGCAGGGTCCATGTCCGGACGGACGGACGGACACGGCCGAAGATAGTACCGTCCTCCACGCAACGCCGATCGAGCATAACTGCATAACGGCGGCAGCTGTATTCAGGCTGCCGCAAGAGGCCACGTTCGCTTTGCAGCAATATGCGGGCCCTAGCAAGAGGTCGCAAGAGTGCATACGGCTTGTACACACACTGAGCGGGCCGCTACAACCCGTCCCATTTGCATCTTTAGGGCTCCTTTGGGTACGTCAAACCCCGCGGGGATCCCAGCCGATTCCGCGCGGCTGCTGAGGCCTGGTGATCTGCTCTCCCTCCAAGTCCCTTTGGCTGTTTGGACACCACCCTGGCCAAAAAAACACGTGTGCCATTCTACCTCTACCACCGTCTAACCCCGCGGAATTAAAAAAAACGTCTCGTGGCTCGTGAATTAGTTTCCCCGTCCTCCCCCCGTCAGCTGATGACTCCCGTCGCGCGATTTGTCTGAGACCGCATCGCAGCCTCCGCCTCCATGCCACGAGCAGATTGCACTAGCGACCTTGCCTCACAAACACGTGTCACTTGTTCCCAAACGATAAGATAGAATACCCACAGGGTTCGCTGAGATGTCATTTGCACGTATAATTTTTCCTTTGTGATTTTGTTCCACGTGCCTTTGGTCTCCTGGCATCCAAAGGAGCCCTTAGTGTAGTTCCAGATTACTGCCGGTTAAAACCAATGCCGCCCGACGGGCCATTAACGGCGTCCACGGAGCCGCTGGCAGGCACCATAATTTACCATATTCTGACGTGTCTTGTTTTACTACCTGACTAGGACAAACGGATTAGCTGCGGTACCACCAGTAGAAAAATAGGATCCAGACTTTCACCCTGTTCTTTATCACCTGCTGAACCAAGGGTCCACGGACGCAGCGGATTCGTGTCTCCGCTCTCCAGAGCCCAAGAGTGCACGTCCAATTTTTCAGTTCACCCGTTTTGCCACGCTGCAGCGCACAAACGCCAAGCTTCCAAGCGGAACAAGCCAGAAGAAAGCACGCGCAAGCGCCAAACGGGCAAACGCCACAGGCGCCCGGCTCGCGTGCGTGTCTATTTACATGTGTAGTCACTACTAGTCAGTCCGCAGCGGCCTCACAGAACACACCAGCACTCCATTCCACTAAATCCGTTTTAAAATATAGATGAGAGCTTTTTTGGCATGGCTCTGGCTGCAGATCCATCAATAGCTTTTGCAGATGAGCTGGAGGAGTCATTTTTGGGTGAGAAACTGGAGGTTGGAGCTATAAAAAGTAGCTTCTCTTCAAGTGTTTTGGCTCCTCTAGTACTTGAGGAGTGCCAAACGAGCCCTAAAATGCATCGCTGTAAAGAACGAATGGCCCGAGGGATGATGTGGGTTTTAAAATTTTATAAAGCAATAAATCTTAACCTATCTAAACTATAAACCTATAAAGCTTATTAACTCCTAAGTTATTTAAAAAGCAAACTAGTGAAGAGTAGCTCAAAATGAGCCAGAGATAATATTTATATAGAGGGTTAAAAGACTACTAGCCGTTGAAAAAACGTGACAGATATAGTGAGCATCAGATGGTTGGTCGAACTATCTCAAATTGAATGTCTTAAACCCACTTAATAGTAGGACCAAAGAAAAACAAAGACATTACACACTACTTAGCGAATGCCGCCCCAATGACCACAATCTACAATTGCTTCTAGATCGTGCTTAGCCTTCATATAATCCTTTGCGCAATGCTCGTTTCGACGCAAGTCATGGGGCCACGTCATTTGTGGGCTTGTGGTCATTCTCACTTATGACTAACTTAATTGTATATCCCTTTGCAAAACACACGTTAATCACACATGCTTGTGTTTATCAGTCACTGAAACCCTATTTTTCACAATAGGGCCTAGATGTGTTCAATAGGCGGCCCATAAACTTATGACGGGTGTCACTTATGTCTATCAACTCTGAAAATACATTTATAGGTCCATCAACTATTAAGGTTGTTCACCGTAGGTATTCCCTTCGTTTGTGTCTGATTCTGACATGGCATCACCACCGCGACATATACGTGGCATTGACTGTTGAGTCAGGACTTAACTTTGTAGTTTTGCTCCCAGTCTTATTCTACAAACGAAATAACAGCACAAGATGAGTTCACTGGAACATACACGCCACCAACAGAAAAAACATGCACCGCCATATCCATGCAGATTCCTCATCTTGTCCTTCAAGCTGCGGTCAACTTCTCCAAGAGCCATGGAACTTGGCCAGGGCTGTGAGCAGCATCCCGAGTAGGACGTGGACACGAATAGAGCCACCTCCTTTTCGGGCAATGTCGTGGGGCCACACGCTGCAGGTAGGCCCCACTAGAAGTCGGTAGCACGAAACGCCAGCTGCGACCACACCGTAATGAGCAGCGTCGACACCTGTGGTGGCAAGGTGCGCATCACCTCGAACTCCTCGAAGTAGTCCTCCATGGACCGCATTAGCCATTAGGCGTCAACCGTGGCCTCTCGTGGCAACCGGTGACGTGCTCTATTAGAAATTTAGACATTTTTATGTCGAATTTAATCTAAAAATAGTAGTAAATTCATGACAACATATATGTATACGTGTGAACTACTCTCTCTGTTAAAAAATGATAATCGTATTAGACGAGAGAAAACCAAGAAAAATGAAAAAAAGGAAAAGAAAATAGCATCCCGCTCAAAATAACCAGGTGGACGGCTAAAAAACTGAAAAAAGTGGAAAATGATATGGACGGACGGACCAAAATCAAAGGTATCTTATTAGAAACTAACAAATATATCCGTGCATTGCAATGGGAGAAAGAAAATATCAAATCTTCATGGAAAGCGACGATAGAATGTTACATATCTATTTATGTTTTATCCTTTTCATAAAATTCAAATTTTATAATTTAATTTATTGATAACCAAGCCATCGTGGTATTAGGTAGTTAATATTTTCGATAATGATTCAACACGGGCGTCTGTTCGTGACTCTCGTCCGGACACGGCTCCGCAGGAGCAGGCCCTATCTCTCTCCAAAACAAAAAACAAATCGCCACTCCCTCGTATGCTTATCCGCCCAACGCACGAAGGAGTGTGGCCGCTCATCCGTCCGCCCCCTTCCCCCCATCGCTGACCGCACTGCACGCCCTCACTCCCTGCGCCGCTCACTTGCGTCCCAGTCACTTGCGCCGCTCGCTCCCTCATCGCCCATCGTCGTTGGGCGCGCCACTGACCCCGCCATGGTCGTTGGGGCGCACGTGCCGTGGTGCCTCAGGTCTTCCCTGGCCAAACCAAGAGCACTCACGAGCATGGCCGGTTCTGGTGGTGCTCGCGCGTCGCCACTTGCCGCCGGATCCCACCGCAACGACCGAAATCGACCGGCCCCGGCCTTCCCCTTCCTTATGTTGTAAATGTATGTTACAAGTGTTTCAGATGTTTCAGAGGTATGTTGCAGTTGTTACATATAGATGTTGCAAAAGCAGATCAGGATGTTGCATATTTTTGCAAGTGTTTTGAGTGGTATGTTGCAAGCTTTTTGAATAAATGTTTCATCTGTTTTAGATGTATGTTGTAGCAAGTGTTTAATCTGGATGTTGCATATATTTCACACACATGTTGCAAGTGTTTTATCTGGATGTTGCATATGTTTCACACATATGTTGCAACAGTATGTTTCAAATGTTTTATCTATGCCCGACGTATGTTGCATCCAAGTGTTTAATGTTGCAAGTTTTTAGGGGGCACGGTGAGTGATGGCACACGGCCCAGGCGTCGTGGATGGTGGCGGTAGAGCAGGGGACCGGCGGACAAGGGCGCAGCAAGCTGGGGGCCGGCTCCCTGGTCCCGCCCATGCGGAGAGGAGGAGGGGTCGGGGGAAGGAGCGGGGCGCAGCTGGGGAGGGGGGCAGGGTGTGCGTGCGAGGCAAGGGCGAGGCGGACGGGGGCGAGCCGCGCGGCCGTCCATCCGGACGCGAGGAGCGGCGGCGTACAGTGTCGAGGGCGGGGTGCACGTGCGAGTCAGGGCGGGGTGGCAGGCCGCACGGGCGTCCATACGCGCGTGTCCATCCGGATATCCGAGCGCTAGCTATGCCCTAATATTTTTTGAACTGAATTAGCTATATTTGCAATAATATGTAGCTTGAAGATATATTTATTTAATAATAAAAATAGAAATCAGGCGAATCTTATCTTACTCTAATCTTACCTCTTATCTATGCTACCTATACTTAATCAAGTAGATCCCTCCGATCCTTCTAATCAAATAGAAAATAATAAAAGCGGGTTGGAAAAAACAATTTTCTGTTTCATAGATAATATATAAATAATAGATAGATACATATACAGACACAGACACAGACATAGATATAGATATAAATATTAGATATAGATATAGAAATAGAAAAGGTTGCAAAACAAGATTATTTTTTCGTACTGTTATGGTAAAGCATGCAAGCGCCAAACGGCTCTAATTTTTTACAATTTAGCTATTTTTTAAGAAAAATTACGTTTGACTTCATGGGAGACTTAAACTCATCTTTGGACCCTGGGGGTCGGCGCCAGGACTCATGGCGCCGAGGTAACACGTCTCGACGCCACAGATCTTGGCACCGAGGTGTCCGGCCGTGCACAATAGGACATCCAAGGTGACGTTCACGTGGTCGGTACCTCGGCGCCATAACACATGACATCGAGCTCGGCGCCATAACACATGACGCCAAGCTCGGTGCCACAGATCTTGGCGCCGACCTCGACGCCGTGTATTCTGACGCCGAGCAATCGGCTTCAAAGCGTGCGGCCAAGTGAAGAGAGAGAGAGGCGGGGCCTTGGACAAAGGCGACGTTCTCGGGCGGGAGACCAGCCGCGTGCGGCGCGCCCCATCAGCTACAGCCCGGCGCCCGAGCCAACCAGCGGCCTGCAGCGCCGGTTCCCCTTACTCCGTTTCCCACGCCGGTTTGCAAAAACCACCGGCTGCATCCCACCGTCTTACGAAACCACCGCCACGTGGTGAGCATCCAGTGGCCAATCCCCAAGCAGCCACACACATGGCCACATGGATCGCGGCCACAACGCCAATCCTGCCTGCACACCTAGGAGGTCACGTGCCTGCGAAGCTGCGCATGGGAGGCCATGCGCCTGCGAAGTCAGGAAGCAGGACCTCTGGATAATTTCCAAAATTTGCGAAGAATTTGATATATTTAACTAATATTTTTCTGATATATGCCATACATTCATAGAAATAATTTATAAATTTTTCTGAAAAATTTAGCATATATTTATCTACGATCTACAATTATCCTCAAATTATATCACTCTGTTCAATAAATTACACTGAAAAAATTTATTATAAATATAATAATAGAACAATATAAATATATCTATAAGACAAAGTAAGAGCATCTCTAAGAGTTTCCTAAACCCCTTCTAGTCTTTATTTTTTAGTAAGATAAGAAAAAAACCCCTCCAACAACTCCTAATCTTAACTCGAATTTATGCACTTCGAAAAAACCGAACCAGTCCACCTAACTTTACTTGCACCTCCGACTCCGCGTATCCTTCCCTCGGCGACGACGGGCTGTGGCGCGTCGCGGTGTCCACCGAGGTCCGCGGCGTGGCGTCCACGCTCGTGTACCGGAGCTCGTCTCGAAGGTACGTGCCGTGGTGGATGCCGCCGAGGGCGGCGCGGGGGCGGCCGTGCGGGACGAGTCGTTCTCGGCCTGGCTGCAGGTGCTCCAATCCGAGGCACTGCGGGGGCAGGAGGTGCTCGACGACGCGGCCCGCGCTACGGCCGTCGCCAGCTCCGCCCGCCGCTTCCTCGCGGGCTTCAAGGCGCTCTTCGTCTGCAGCGCCGTGGTGGACCGCCGCGGATGGCGAGGATGATCTCCTTGTGCGCCTCGTCGACGTAGATAAGATACGGCGGGCACGCGTTGCCGATGTCCTCGTAGGTGGCCCGCTTGATGATGCCCCTGGGGTCGATGTCGAAGTACCCGCGCTCCGGCGGCGCGAACTTGGGGTTGGACAGGTCCTCGTCATAGTTGGCGAGCACGGCGTGGCAGAGGCGCGGGACGGGCTCGAACTCGTCGGGGGACGCCGGCGGCGAAGTCTCGCTGTCGTAGGCGCCGATGTAGGTGAGCTGCTGGGCGCTGCGGGTTGGCAAACTTGGGTTTGGTCGTCTTTCGCGTTCAGGTACCCCGCCGGCACGCTTGCTTGCTCCGATCATCGGTCTCTCAAACACTCGCTCACTGCTCATTTGCTTGTGCCACGTATGCGGATGTTTTTCGATGCTATTTATTAAAAACTTTTAGAGACGTATAAATTTTTAGGAGAAAAAAAAGTAAGAAACTCTCGGAGATATTCTAAGTGCATGGCACCGAGCATATATTCAAAGCGCGTGCATGCATTTAAAGAGCCGAGCATGCATTCCAAGCGTGTGCAGTACCTAGCCTGACTCCAGGTCTCCATCCACTGCTCTCGTGCGCATAATACCGTACAGTACAGGCTGCTCTCAATCAACAAGCAGCATCCACCAACGCAACAGCGCTCTTGAACACGCGGATCGGCACGTCGTCCATGTAGAACCTGCGGAAAGTGTAGTAGTACATTAGCTAGCGATGAGCCGACAATGCAGATGCACGGTGTACGAGGAAGGGATTGGGCCCCTGCCGTCGCAGCCGCACAGTGACCGGGCATGTCGGTCCAGTTTAGTTTGCAAAAAAATTTGCAAATTTTTTCACATTCCCCGTCACATCGAATCTTTGGACATATGCATGAAGCATTAAATATAAATAAAAAATAAAACTAATTACACAGTTTAGACGAAATCCACGAGACGAATCTTTTAAGCCTAATTAGACTATGATTGGACACTATTTATCAAATAACAACGAAAATGCTACAGTGACCATTTTGCCAAAAATTTTGGAACTAAACTGGCCCGTGCAGGGTTCAGACAGGCGTGGAGAGTAGGGGCAGGCCGTAGGCCGTGTGTTTGGATGTGTGCGTGGGCACGGCTGCACCTGCACATGAAGGCACGCGAATCTAGGGCTTGTTTAGGCCGTGTTTAGATCGTAAGTTTTTTTACTCTCTCTCCATCACATCAAATCTTTAGACACATACATGGAGTATTAAATATAAATAAAAAAATAACTAATTACACAGTTTGATTGTAAATTACGAGATGAATCTTTTGAGCCTAATTAGGTCATGATTGGACAATAATTATCAAGTACAAACGAAAGTGCTACAGTACCAAATACTGATTCTAAACGAGGCCTTAGATTGCAAAATTTTGCAACGTGGACACTGTAGCACGTTTCGTTTGTATTTGACAAACTTTGTCCGATCATGGACTAACTAGGCTCAAAAGATCCGTCTCGTGATTTACAACCAAACTGTGTAATTAGTTAATTTTTTACCTACATTTAATGCTCCATACATACGTCTAAAAATTGATGTGATGGAAAGAAAGTGAAAAAACTTAAAATTTGGAGACAATCTAAACAAGGCCCTAGCTTCGAGATTTACTGTCTGCCTTTAAGACCGCATGAATTCACGGCGCGTTAGTTGGCGAAAATTTTTGGGTTCGCCTGCCGTTGCACTTTCGTTTTGGTTTGTATTTGGTAATTTATGTTTAATTATGGATTAATTAGGTTTGAAAGTTTCGTCTTATGATTTCTTACTCAACTATGTAATTAATTTTTTTTATCTACATTTAGTACTTTATACATTTATTGTAAGATTTGATGTGATAATTTAAGTTGAAAATTTTTAGGAATTAAACAGGCCTCAAAATCGTCTTCGAGATTATTGTCTGCCTTTAAGAATGCATGCGCGTTGCGGCAGCGCTGCAGTGCATGTGCATGCAGCATGCATGGCCGTGGCCCTGCTCTGCCCTCGAGGGCGGTGAGCCTGAGCCGTTCCTGAACATGCTGGCATGCTGGCATGGGTTAAATCATATGCAAATTAGGTTTGAAAAATTCGTCTATAAATTAATTATAAAATATATAATTAGTTTTATAATTAATCTATATTTAATACTATGTTCCCAACATTCGATATGATCGGAAATTTAGGAGGAGATGCAGTAACAAACAGCCCTAAGTCTCCCATGGCATTAAATGGAAACTTTCTTAAAAAAAAGGTAAATTATAAAAAATTAGGCCAAACGGCACAGGCGTCGGGCGTGCGTGCATGTCTCTCTCTCACACGCACGTAGTCACTAGTCAGTCCTCAGCGGACTCACAGAACACGCCACACCAGCAGGCCATTCACGTCTCGGACAAGCAGCTTGTCGTTGCAATGGGTCACGAGCAACAAGAGCGCGGCAGTGGCCACCTCCTGCTCTTCCCGTTCCTGGCGCAAGGCCACCTCATCCCGTTCCTCAACCTGGCCAAGCGCTTAGAGAGCCTCAGGCAGCGTGGTGGCAGCGGCCACCGCCGTCTCGCGATCACCATCGTCAGCACGCCTCGCAACGTCGCCAGCCTCCAGCTCGCGCTGCCTGCCGGATCTTCCATCGGCTTCGCCGAGCTGCCGTTCTCGCCGTCGGACCATGGCCTGCCACCCGACGCCGAGAGCGCCGACGCCGTGCCCCTCCATGCCTTCCCAACTTTCACCTTCGCGACGGAGCTGCTCCAGCCGTCATTCGAGAAGCTCCTGACTGAGATCGCCGGGAGAGAAGGGCGCAAGAACGTGTGCGTCCTCGCGGACATGTTCCTGGGCTGGACGGCCGAGACCGCCCGCGCGCTCGGCGTCCAGCACCGCATGTTCCTCACCAACGGCGCCTATGCCTCCGCCGTCATCTTCTCTATCTGGCTCCGCCCGCCGTCGTTCCCGCGCTCCGCCGACCCTGACGACGAGCTTGCGCTGGCAGACTTCCCCGACGTCCGTGTCCGGTATGTGGACTTCCTGAACGTGGTCCTCAACGAGGACTACGGCACCGACCGGTCCGACCCCGTGGTGGCGTACCTGTGCCGGATGGTCAGCCTCCACCTCCGACACTCGAGCGGCCTCGTCATCAATACCTCCGAAGAGATCGAGCCGAAAGGTCTTCACCTCATCGTGAAGCTCTCCGGGCTGCCGACTTTCGCTGTCGGTCCCGTCATCGGCGTCGGCGGCCGAACAGCTACAGATGACACCGCGCCGGACCAAGACATGTGCATCAAGTTCTTGGACTCCAAGCCGCAGGCGTCCGTCCTGTACGTGTCGTTCGGGTCGCAGAGCTCGATCCCGGCGTCGCAGATGATGGAGCTGGCGCGGGGGCTGGAGGCCAGCGGGCGTCCGTTCATCTGGGTGGTGCGTCCACCGGTGCAGTCCGACGGGGCGAAGGGGTTCCGCGCCGAGTGGCTCCCCGACGACTTCGAGGAGAGGGCCGCGGCCGCGGAGCAGGGCGTGGTGGTGCGCGGGTGGGCGCCGTAGATGCGCATCCTGGCGCACGCGTCCACGGGCGCGTTCCTGAGCCACTGCGGGTGGAACTCGGTGCTGGAGAGCCTGTGGCACGGCGTGCCGGTGGTGGGCTGGCCGCTCATCGGGGACCAGCTGTTCGACTCCCGCGTGCTGGTGGAGCTCGGCGTCGGCGTGGAGGTGGCGTCCGGGAGGTGTTTCGGCGGGCTGGGCAGCAAGGGGTCGGAGCGCGTTAGGGACGTCGTGGAGACGGTGATCGGGGACGGCGACAAGGCCAAGGACATGCGTCGGAAGGCTGCCGAGATGAAGACGCTGGCGCGCGCGGCTGTCGGACCCGCAGACGGAGACGGCAAGGGCAAGGGCTCGTCCGTGCTCGCCATGGAGCGCCTCGTCGATAGCGCCTTCGACTGATCATGTCAAATTTGTCGTTTGGGACACAAATAAATTTTGCATGGTTGTCATGTTCCAATTTCCAAACAAGGGGCTTAGTTGTCAGTATCTGCAGCTTTACTACAGTACAAACACTGCTATACTATACGATTGCGGTGTTGTACTTTATCGTTGTATGAACTCCTAGTATAATAATAACAGTGTGCGTAATTGTCACCGGTTTTCCTTATCAGCATGTCAATAAGCAAGCCGGAAGTCTTGTACCCAGTTTCGTAGTGTGACAGTGCAAGTTTCGGTCCGTGCCATGGCATCGCCACTAACGAAAATATTGCTATGGAAAGATCCAGTATGTACAAAATTTGTCAGAAAACTATACTACATCATACATGTGCCACACATAAAGGCCCTGCCCCTGCTCGCTGCAATTTTTCAGCTGCGGCTACAAGAAAAGAGCTAATGTCTACTGTATCTAGCATACGATAAATAGCCACAGCCGCAGCAGCAGCCAAATAAGCTGTGACATCAAAACATAGGAATCACTTTTCTTTAGAGTTTCTTTGTGCATATGTATTCCAAACGGGGCTGAAGCTGCGAGGCGTACCGCACACACTGCACATTGCTTAGCTGAGTTGATCAACTCACCTAAGCAATGATTAACCCTTGCAGCTGTTTCATGGGCTCGGAACAACTAACATGCTTAGTTAGCTAGACCCGGTATAAGTTGAGTGCGAGAGGGAACTCACATTCACGTGTGCAGCTTGGTTCACCGGGTCATAACCAACACTAAAACTTGGTTGCTGTTATACTTGGCTAAATGGGCTAGGCCCGCTTGGCCAGTGTTGGCATGACATTAAAAGCGCGGCCTGAGCACAGCCTGGCCCAAGGCACATCGTGCCCGTGCCTGACACGCCCCGGTGGTTGCCGTGCCTGGGCCACAAATTTAGGCCGCAGTGCCGGCCCGAACACGACACAACTAATGGGTTGGCACGATGCTGGTCCGATCTATTTTAACTGTTGGATGGCCTTAGAGAACTCAGCAAATTGGATTAGATAGGAGACCATATAAATGCCTCAAACCCTAACTCCCACATCTACTTATCTACAGGCAGTCTCCTCCTGACTCGCCTACTCCCTCGTCCCTCCCGACTCGCACTCCGGCGCGCGTATTGCACTTGGCGGTGCGGAGAGCTGGGCCGTCTCCTCCCGGACTCGCGCGTGTACTCCCGGTCACCGCGCGGCGGCGCGATGGCCTTGTCGTGGGGCCGGAGCTAGAGATCGGCGCTGCAGCGACACGACGACCTCGAGGGCGAGGCGCGTCTGCGGGCTGGCACGGGCACGTCGGACTGCTGTTTCTAGCAGCACGGTTCGTGCCTGTGCCACTACCTTGGCACAGCGGCACTATCAGGTACAACATTTCTAAGCTGCCGTCCCTGGCCGCGCTTTACGGCCCGGTTGACCATGTATACTTGTCGCTGATGGGTGCACTTATAGGAGGAAGATGGTGCTGTTGAGTAACAACTGCTACAGAAAACATCTATTCAATTTATTATGACTTGTCAAACGTCAATAGCCTGAGTGCACCTAATCTACTGTTTGGTTTCCGGTTTGGTTTGAGAGAGGAATCGGTGAAGCGGTTCTTAGAAGGCGGAAGAAAAATATATAGCAACCACAACATACTGTTTATTTCTCAATTTTTATTTTTTTAGGTTAGATTCAAAAACATCATGTTGTTTCTAAAAGGTAAGATCATGTATATCACAGAATTTTTTTAGGCACCGTAACATCATGTTGTTTATTTCTTAATTACTATTTTTTATAATGACACATGTGTAAAGTACCTTCGACGGCAAAATTTCGTACATACACATCGAAGCTTCTGCAGCATAAGATGGCAAAGGGCAAGCCAGCAGTACCTTTGTGCAGAGTTTCTCTGCTTCTCTGTGTTCTTTCAGTTTCAGCTTGCAGGCTGCATTGTTGAACTTGCAATTGATTTTCAGAGGTTAGATTGCTTTTTCTATCCTCACTGAAAGACCTGTCATACTCGATGTACTTTGCAGCCTGATTAAAGGGAAGATGGAGTTAGTAGTGGTCTGTCTGATAAAATTAACAGAGATTTTGCGTGGAGTGTAGGCTGCCATTGCACCTTCTCGATGAACTCAAGAGTCTCTTCACCGTCGTGCCCTTTTTTCACGGAAACACTGCGCACTTGCTAGTGTCCGAATGTCTGATCTCGACGCTAGCGTTCGGACGCTATCCGCATATGGAGCGAACGAGCGTCTAGCGCGTCAGGCTCGCGAGAGAGCGCACCAGTTGTGGTCCCGTGCCTGCCTGGACGTCGTCCGCACCGCCGGCTGCTTCCCACGTTCATCCCATGTGTAACACCCGATTTACTTTTAAAACATCCAGATGCAACAGTTGCAACATACAAAAAAAGACAGATAAAACATGTCGGGTTCATAAACCCAGGTCCCTCATGGACCGGCTTTCCAGCAAAGGCTCGGCCTAGCAGACAACGTCGTGAACAACGCGCAACTCCTGAGCCGGCCAAAAAAACTAACGATAGGCCAGAAGAGCGATCCAGTCTCCGACGGAGGGCTTGGCCAAGGACGTACGGCGCTCGCTCGCCTCCGACTCTGGCCCGCCTCTCCGACCGGAAGGCCAGGACAAGGAGGATTTACTTTTGAAACATCCAGATACAACAGTTGTAACATACAAAGGAAAACAGATAAAATATTTGAAACAAGCATCTGAAACACTTGAAAAACATTTAAAAACTATTGCAAACATATGCAACATCTAGATGAAACATTTGCAAACATACATATGAAACACATGAAAACACTTGAAACATATGCTTGCAACATGCATGTATATGCAATATCTAGATCTACTTTTGCAACTTCCAGATAAAACACTTGCACCGTTCAGATAAAACATTTAGAACATACATTTGAAATATACGTGTATAGCCATTACAACATGTGCAACATCCCGATCTACTTTTGCAACATCGTATACCGAAAGGGGACCGTGACGCCTAAGAGGGGGGTGAATTAGGCAACTTAAAACTCTAAAACTTTGGCCTCTTTTTTTTTGTATTCTTAGCAAAACCCATGCAAAAGATAAACTATCTAAATGTGCAACTACGATTTTGCTAGTGTTTTGCTATCTCTACCGCAAAAGGAGTTATGCAAACAATGTAAATGCGGAAGCTAAGAGTAAGGTAGAGATATGCAAACTCCAGTCAACGACTCCGGTATTTTTACTGAGGTATCGAGAAGCGCCCAAGCTTCCCCCTAATCCTCGTTGGAGCCCTTCACAAGAAATCCCTAGCAAGGGCTAAGCTCCCGGTCGGGTAACTCCGTGGATAGTCCTGAGCCTTCCCCATGCGCAAGTGGGTCTCCGGTGTGCCTTCTGGCAGTCCTCTCCCGGACCGCTTCCCACCGTCTTCACTGTCAAGCTTCCCGCCAAACCGCCGCGGGTCTTGTTCCCTTTGGTACACGGTGGCAGCCACACCACAAATGCAGTTGGTGTGATCTCACAAGACTACAAGCCCCTTCGATGTACAACAATGGTACGCGCAAGCATCGAGTGGTAAGAGGTATGCAAACCTCACTAAACAATAGGTCTAAACCTAGAGCAAGCGTATAAGCAATGGTCTAATCAACCTAAGCACTTCGCAAAGCACCTACGCTAATCACCTAATGAATCACTAAGCACTACATAAGTGGAGATCACTAAAATGGTGCATCAACACCCTTGGTATGTTTTTTCAGTTGCACTATACTCAAATGGCTGGTTGAGGGTCTATTTATAAGCCCCACTGAGAAAGTAGCCATTGGGGACGAAACCCACTTTTCTGCTACCAACCAGACACTGCTGTCGTCCTGATCAGACACGTCCGGTCGTCCCGACCGTTTGAGCGCGCGCGTTGATCGAACGCACTGCCGAGTCTAGTCACTGTTGATCGGACGCGTCCGATCGCGCCGTCGCCGCTCTGGAACCTCTCTGGACTGGATCGGACGCTGCGGTTCCTTTGTCCGGTCGATCATCCTCCAGCGTCTGGTCAGTGCTGAGCTATTGTCGCGACAGTGAACAGTGTCATCGTCGCGTCCTGTCAGTTTTAGCCCTCAGTGTCCGGTCGCTGTTGCTGGCGCCTGCTGTTGCCAAGTAACTGATCGGACGCGTCCGATTCCTATAAGGGCTACGTCTGGTCACCTCTGCTGAGCACGTTTCTTCGTGATCTTGGGTCCGGTTTGATTTCTATCTTCGTGCTTGGACTTTGCTTGATATTTTGGGTCTTCTCTTGTGCTTCTAGAGTCTTGCTTAAGGTGTTGATCATCGGATCATCATGTCGTCTTCGTCCAAGTCACATCTTGCACCTTATTGAACTACAAAACAATTGCTTGTAAATTTATTAGTCTAATTTGGTTGTATTGGTCATAAAAAACAAAATCCAAAGTAAATGGTCCTATGATCCATTTTCCTTACAGTATACATGTCGGTGTTTCGTACAAGCACTGGCAAGTAAATTTATAGTAATGCGCGTTAGACTCGGATGGTGCGCTAAAGGACACAAGATTTATACTGGTTCAGGACGAAAGTCCCTACGTCCAGTTTGTTGCTGCTCGTGTTATTAGCACTATGAACGGTTTGTAGTAAGGGGTACAAACGATCGAGAGAGGGACTGGTCCCAAGTCTCTGATGGAAGGGTTCAAGGGATGTCAAGAGGTTCGACCCAACTTGACTGTGCGTATCTGAGAGTCGTCTCGTTCGATCTTTTCTCCCCCTCCTCTTATGGAGGAAGCGCATCCCCTTTTATAGATGAAGGGGCTGGCTTTATAAGGGTGAGGGCTTTAGGATGCGTACTCTACTTAGTCTTGTGGCTCACGTCTACCCGGCCTGGTTCTTCATTCTGATGAGTACGAAGGAAGATAAGCGCCTACAATACTGTCGATGTCCCTGTAGAATGTCAGGTTGGTTATAGAATGCTACCCTGCGCAGGGTATGGGTCATAGTAC